TTCTTATTCATTTCTGAAATTAGTACCACTCAGTTCATTAATCATTATGTCGGATAATTATCCACCTACAGGGTTTGAAATAATATTCCTTCCTGAGCTCATTTCGGGGACGTCATCAACCCAACCCACTGGACATAGTGACCGTAAATAATTTATAACAGCACATCATATAAACAATCTTATTTACCAAAGTACCAAGTATTTTATCCTAATATAATAGGAATCACCCTTGTAAATAAAATAAACAAGTAATGAATATACATGCATGTTTTATATTATCTACAGCTTTAGAGAACGCATCAATAACCGAAGGTCTAGATTACAACAATGATCAGTGAGTCTTATAATCTTATCCTTCCGCGGTCATGTTCAATACTTATCATAAGTACTAGTGTAGTTCTCCAGTCAAAGACAAACTGAATCAAGAATACACTACAGTCTTTTTCCAAGAGGGGTCTCGTTGCATGTCTAGACTGTGAACGAATAGTTTAGTCGTACAAGGAACCGTTAAGTGATCTTTCTGTTCGAGACACCACGAACCGCAGTATTTCAATGTAAAACAAGGAGTATGATTGCATAAATAAATAAACTGCAAGCATATGTACTTTGCCGAACCATGATTGCCATATCAAAATGGAATTGATAGAATTTGCAAAACCGAGCTTTTACAGCATACCTCTAACAAGCAGCACTGTTGGGCACTGGCTGCGACCTTGGTCGGCGACCGTTTTGGCAACCAAGGGTTCTAGTTGGGTTTGGAAATTATGCTCAAAATTACTCTGCACTTAAATGAGTCGATCTAGGGTTCTAGTTCTCCAAGCAACCTAACTTAATTTAAACTAAAATGTTAAGCTTTAACTTAACACAATTTACGAGAATTCTAGACATAAAAATCTCGGCAAAAGTCCATTCATACAATGCGTCTAAAAATCACCGATTTTGACTTAAGAACCGATTTTTGTAACCCTATCAAATAGCTTCCAAATATACTCAAACTTTAAGCATATCCGTAACATAATATTTAAGATTTTTAGGCAAAATATCTCAGCAAGAACACATCTCTAACTCAAATTCCATAAAATAGTCATTTTAGATCTTGATCTAGATATCAAGTCCACATAGCAAACAAACTCCAAAAATCCATCATCTAAACCTCAACCTCTACACAATATTCTAGGATTTTAGGAATTTAATTCACATTTTTTGCACTTGAACAACTCAAGATAAAAAAAATCAAACATAGAATCGCATTAATTCTAGATCTCTCATTTCTACTCCATATTTCTTGATTTCATTAATTTAAGAATTAATTATAAATCATATCTAAGTCGTACTCCTTCAGGAGTTAGATCAAAAAATATGAAATCGGCTAGTGCTTGGTCGAATGCGTGCGGCTTGCCTTGTGCGAATCTGGGCGCTGTTGGAGACTGGAGGCGTGCGTTTGGGCCTGGGATTTGCTGGACGATTGACCGTGGGCTGTTGCTGAGGGTCTAGGCGACTGGGTGCTGGTGCGCGTGGGGCTCGGCTCGAGGTGTGCGATGGCTAGGGCTCGGTCTCGCCGGCTTGTGTTCAAGAAATGCGAGAGGGCAAAATTTTTTAGTGACTATGGTCAAAACCCTAATGCTTCAAAACTTAGGCCATGGACTAGAGTTAGGATTTGCGTCTTAATTTTGTTGGTTAAACAAGTGGGCCTCGGAAATTGCTTGGGCTCGGCTATTGGGCCTCGCGGCTTGTCGCGCGCGCTTGCTTGGGCCGAGTTCTTGGCTCGAACGGGCTTTGGCCCTTATTTAATATTTTTTTTATTTTTCTAATGCCCTGTTTCGGATTAAAATGGTCAAGCTCACTGCCTTTTTTAAGGTAAAATGATACCGATACTTAGGCTAGATAAATTCGATTCAATAAATAAAAATTAAACGGATCCTCCTTGGCTTAGACTTAGGATTTATAAATCAATTTAATGCTTGAAAAATTAATAGAACTTGAATAAATAAAACTTGCTATTTATATAACTAAAGTCAAACTCATATATAATAAAAATATTTAGGGAGTTACATTTGTGACTTACATGATTCGACGTTACTACAAGAATAATCATTTTTAGTGGCGATAATGTTTGTCGCTATATGTTCAAATGTCGTCACAATATCATTTTGTGACGACATTTGAACATTTAGTGACAAATATTACCCCCACTAAAAATGATTATTCTTGTAAAATATATTATTCTTGATGTTATAGAATTCCAACTACATCAACTTTAATTCACACCTTTTTAACTACCCATCATTTTCAACTTCACTTCTACTTTTTCTTCACAGAACGATAAAGATAATATATATAACTCAAAGAGAACAATGTTCTAATCAAAGGGCACAACCCTACTAATCAAAAATAACAATCTGTGAGGCACTTAAAAAGCACGTAGAACCTCAACTAACTCAAACCAAACTAAAACAAGAACAAACACAAATTGAAGATATGATCCTACCCACTGCCCACAGGCCTAGCTAGAAATCATAAGCTTCTACCCTATAAGAGAAGAAAATCAACAACTGAAAACACAAAAAAATAAACTAAGCTGCAGAAGAGAAGTCCATCCAGTCTTGATGAACTGCCTTAATGACAATGTGCTCAGGCATGAGTGCTGAGAATACCCAGAGGATTCTGGATATCCATAGCCACCAGAGCAAGTATGTTGAAAGCCATGATTTGAAATAGTAACATAATTTTATTCATTATATTTTTATTATTATTTAAATATAAATTCAAAATATCACTCAATCAACTTAATTGAAAATTAATTAAATATAATCAATAAATCTAACTAAAATTAATTTTATTTATATTTGTGCCTTTATTTTATTTTCAACATTAGGCAGATATATAGATATAGATGCTAAGAAACTAGCCTTTATTACAATATTAAATAGAATCCTACCAAGAGAGAAGATATCCTAGGCCATAGTTAATGACTTACTGAACTCATATGTTTCAAGTGGTTGCCAAACCCAAGTGGCTAACAAGTGGAAATGTTTCTCCGCCAAATAAGAGCATCTCCAATGGTCTTTCCATTTCTCTATTTTTTTGCCACACGTCACAAATAATATTATGTGACTTGAAAAATTCTAGAATGCTTTCTAGATGTAGAAGCATATCTAGACAACTTCTTTTGTATATTAGAGTATTTATTTAATTTATTTATCTTCTTCAACCAATTAAAATTCAACACATCACAAATGAAATCACAATTATCATTAACCATTGGAGACATAATTTTTTAGCTTACATTCTCCATGCCATACAACACAAAATGGACAATTATCCATTGGAGATGCTCTAATGACATACCGAATTCACATGGTTCAAGTAGTTACAAAATCTAAATTTACGAGCGTACTTAATTAAAATAATATATAGATATGTATTTACAATATTTAAAATTAATTCGCCAAAGTCAACCAATATAAAAGTGTCATTTAAAGATAAAGTTGAATATCTCAATTTCATTCGATATTAAACTAGTTCAAGTAGTTACAAAATCTAAATTTATGAGCGTACTTATTTAAATTAATATATAGATATGTATTTACAATATTTAAAACTAATTCACCAAAATCAATTAATCAAACCAAATAAATAACATAAACAACAAAAAAAACCTTCTGCCTCGCAGCAAAAAAAAAAAAAAAAAAAAAAAAAAAAAAAAAAAAAAAAAAAAAAAAAACCATCGACTTCAAGCTTCGCCCTCCTCAGCGGCCATCAAGCTTCGTCGGCGGTCACTGGCCTTAACTGCCTAGATCCCACCCCTTATTTTCTGCTCCACCTTTCGATTTCGATAGATGTAGGCCTCGCCTTTAGCGACGGGCTTCGTCTTTCCGGCGCCGGTTCGTGAATCCAGGTAGGTGGTCCCTCTGTCGGGCGGTGGTGGAGCCGATGTGCGGTTTCGGGAGGGGGGACACGGCTTGATTGCTTTGCGACTTTGGTTCACTGGCCGATTGGGGCGGAGCCACTACTCAAGGTCTTCACCATGTGCTCGTTCTTTGGGTCGATGGGGGCCGGCGCTTCAATTCTTATTCCAGTGGTGTTGGTCGAGATGATGCAGCGGCGCTTTAGTGGTTTTGGGCAGTGTCCGGGAATTTTGTGGTCAGGGCTGGGGTCGTTGCACTCTATTGTCTGTTTCGGGGAAATTCGATGTTGTGGTCGTGGTGCGGGTCGGCCTGCTGTAGTTCCATGGCTAGGGTTTCGACACCTCTAGGCAACCGAGTGGTTTTGGCAGTTTCGGGGCCGGAGTTTCTGGCTGAGGGATTCATGGTCGTCTTGGTTCCACTGCTTTGGTTAGGTGTCGCTGCTCTGGAAGGGCTCGTTTTTTGTTTTTTTTCATTTTTTGGGTAGTTTCTTTGTTTGTTAGTAGTCTTGTGATTTGTTGTTTTTTGCTGTGTTTTTGGTCTGGGCCATTGGCCTCAGTGAGCCTGGGTGTTAACTTTATTATCCTCTTGAGATCCGACACTCGGGTATTACTCTGTTGGGGTCTTTTCTAGCTGTTGTTTAGTTTAGTTGGATTTTTTTTATTCTAGCTTTGCTAGTCGGGATTTTAGGCGGTCTTCTGACATGTCCTCCTACTTTTCAGCCGTTGGTTGCTTGTATTTGCACATCTGTGCGCTTTTGATTTATAATATTATCTATGGTTTCGAAAAAAAAAAATAGAAGTGTCATTTAAGATAAAGTTGAATATCTCGATTTCATTCCATATTAAACTAATTCACCAAAGTCAACCAATATAAAAGTGTCATTTAGAGATAAAGTTGAATAAAACTCCGTTAATCCATAGCAATAGCAGCATATAGAATAGATGATATACACACCAATTGATGGTTCAATTAAAAGCACCATAAATACTATATTGGGAAAACTCAAAAACACCTATTGATGGTTCAATCCAGAAACACTATAAATACTATATACTGAGAAAACTCAAAACTCGTGAATTGTTGTTTGGTAATATGTCCTCACATCCATCTCTCGACCTTGAGGTGGAGGAGGTGGACACTAAGTTGTTGAGCCAACTGCCAAAAGTGCGTTTTTGGGATATCGGATACCATATCTACCAATGGGAAAGGTGTTGGTTTGCGCCTCTCTCTCTAAAGGGTGCCATGAAATTCAGGTCAAACTTTGAGGCCCGAGATGATGACATAATCCTTGCGTCAACCATGAAGACAGGCACGACCTGGCTCAAAGCACTCTCCCACTCTGTCATGCATAGAAATATCAATGATCCTCTTGACGACATCCTAACTACAGAAAATCCCCATTTTTTGGCCCCCACCATTGAGGCTGAGTTTCACTACAACAAGGCACTCCCAGTCAACCTTTACGACTTGTTGATGAGCCCACGTCTATTCCACACACACATGCCGTACATGCTCTTCCCTGAATCCGTCAAAAACTCTGCAAGCAAAATTGTGTACGTCTGTCGTAACCCTAAAGACACCCTCATCTCGATGTGGCATTTCTACAATGTCTCACACCACACGTACCCACTGCAAAAGGCGATCGACTGCTTTTGTGCTGGGGTCATTCCTTATGGGTCCTACTTCGACCACGTGGAGGGGTACTGGTTGGAGAGCGTCATAAGGCCTGACAAGATACTGTTTGTCAAGTATGAGGAGATGAAGAGTGATTCCAAGGGGCAGGTCAAAAGGATAGCCGAGTTCATGGGAAGGCCGTTTGATGAGGACCAAAAGGAAATATTAGATGATGTTTTGTGGAGGTGCAGCTTGGAGAGACTTAAGAACCTAGAGGTTAACAAGACGGGAACTTTATTTGCGACAATGCCAAACCAGGCTTTCTTTAGGAAAGGTCAAACTGGGGACTGGAAAAATTATTTAACACCTCTGATGGAGGAACAAATTGACCGGTTGAGTCAAATGAAACTTGAGCCCTTGGGTCTTTTTCTTTGATTTTGGTTTCCAAATAATAATAATAATAATAATAATAATAATAATAATAATAATAATAATAATAATAATAATAATAATAATGGAAAATGATAAGGTTCCGTTATGGAACCATTCCGTCGGAGTTTCTAATCGTCAGATCAACATGTAACCGTCAAAGATAGATGATCTAACGGTTACAAACCCCGACGGAATGATTCTGTAACAGGACTGTAACATCTTCCAATAATAATAAATTGATATCAATTTATTTAGGAGCGCGGGTGACACTGGAATAAAATAAAGTATTATTGATTTTTCTTTTTATCATATTATCGTAATAAATGTTACTTTACATCTTTATTGTACTAATATATTTACAAATGATTGCTATTCAATACTTTTTCTATCAAAATTATTGGTAGTTTAGCGGTTTTGCTATGAAGCCAACAGTTGGCTCCAGAGTGGAGCAAACTGTTGGCTTAATAGCAAAACTGGGTAATTTAATTATAAATTAACTAATCCAATAATAATTATTTTTTCAATTACAAGCTATAATATCACATGTTATTAAATTTTTATTAATTATTGCTCTTATTTCAAGTGTACTAGTATCAACCTATGCACATAAATGGATAGACAAATGATTAAAAAATGAAACTAACACAAGAGTATAATAGTATGCAACTATTCTATAGATATAATTTTAATTATTAATATACATATATGTACAATTTTTATATTTTTTGCATCAGCGAAACAAATGAAATATAAGAGTTAACTCTAAATATTATCAAAAAAAGTTATTTATATACAACATTTATAGTTTTCATAACATCCGAATTACTATCGCTACAGATCACTACCTTCGACCCCTTTCAATTCACAACTCTACATAGAACTATGTATATTTCCTATGATTGAGAAAAAAGTTCTTTAGTACTATGCCCACGTGTGGATCCCGGAAGAGATTGTTTTGACTCTTATTAATTGTCATAGCATAGAAATCATAATTATGAAACTACATGCACTAGAACTTGAATGATATCCTAAGATCTCACGGTATGATTGTCAGTCTGGGAATCAAAATATTATCACAAGCTTTCGAACAAAAATTCTACATTCGATGACATGATTATTAAGTTTAGTATCACCAATCGTATTACCGACAAGTATAGTAGAATCAATAGATTCTGGATCCACAGAGTTATTTGAAATTTGTGAAATTGAAGACAGCTCTAGGGAAGTTTTTATATACAATTTCAAACACACGAGTCATTTGATAAAACAAAAATTTAAAATTCTTCGGTGTAGTTAATTTGTTGGCATCTTGAACAACTTTAAATCGACTAATCCTTTAGACACGACCCTCCACAAGCTCGAATTGGTTGAATGTTTTTGCCAAACACGCGGGGTCCAAATCATGGATGTGGTCACCCTAACAAAGGAAACTATTATACAAAAAAA